ACATGACTCCTCACAGTGATGCTTCATATAATACACCGTTACCTGAGCACTGACAAAGCGGGCGAACCATTCTCGTCCTTTCCCGTTCTCGGAACTGCAGAGCTCCCCGAATCTCGCCTTCTCCTCCTGGTCCACGTCCTCCCTGCAATGAGAGTTAAAAAAGACAGCTGGTCACCGAGACTGCTGGGAGCTGCTGTACACGTATAGGTGATCAATGCACAGGTAGCCCGTGGCAACAAGTACAATGTAACCGATGTGACAATTCCACGTACAGGTGATACAATGTAACCAATGTGACAATTCACCGTACAGGCGATACAATGTAACCGATGTAACAATTCCCCGTACAGGTGATACAATGTAACCAATGTGACAATTCACCGTACAGGCGATACAATGTAACCGATGTAACAATTCCCCGTACAGGTGATACAATGTAACCAATGTGACAATTCACCGTACAGGCGATACAATGTAACCGATGTAACAATTCCCCGTACAGGTGATACAATGTAACCAATGTGACAATTCACCGTACAGGCGATACAATGTAACCGATGTAACAATTCCCCGTACAGGTGATACAATGTAACCAATGTGACAATTCACCGTACAGGCGATACAATGTAACCGATGTAACAATTCCCCGTACAGGTGATACAATGTAACCAATGTGACAATTCACCGTACAGGCGATACAATGTAACCGATGTAACAATTCCCCGTACAGGTGATACAATGTAACCAATGTGACAATTCACCGTACAGGCGATACAATGTAACCGATGTAACAATTCCCCGTACAGGTGATACAATGTAACCAATGTGACAATTCACCGTACAGGCGATACAATGTAACCGATGTAACAATTCCCCGTACAGGTGATACAATGTAACCAATGTGACAATTCACCGTACAGGCGATACAATGTAACCGATGTAACAATTCCCCGTACAGGTGATACAATGTAACCAATGTGACAATTCACCGTACAGGCGATACAATGTAACCGATGTAACAATTCCCCGTACAGGTGATACAATGTAACCAATGTGACAATTCACCGTACAGGCGATACAATGTAACCGATGTAACAATTCCCCGTACAGGTGATACAATGTAACCAATGTGACAATTCACCGTACAGGCGATACAATGTAACCGATGTAACAATTCCCCGTACAGGTGATACAATGTAACCAATGTGACAATTCACCGTACAGGCGATACAATGTAACCGATGTAACAATTCCCCGTACAGGTGATACAATGTAACCAATGTGACAATTCACCGTACAGGCGATACAATGTAACCGATGTAACAATTCCCCGTACAGGTGATACAATGTAACCAATGTGACAATTCACCGTACAGGCGATACAATGTAACCGATGTAACAATTCCCCGTACAGGTGATACAATGTAACCAATGTGACAATTCACCGTACAGGCGATACAATGTAACCGATGTGACAATTCTCTGTACCGGTGATACAATGTAACCAATGTGACAATTCACCGTACAGGCGATACAATGTAACCGGTGTGACAATTCTCTGTACCGGTGATACAATGTAACCGGTGTGACAATTCTCTGTACCGGTGATACAATGTAACCGATGTGACAATTCTCCGTACAGGTGCTACAATGTAACCGATGTGACAATTCTCCGTACAGGTGCTACAATGTAACCGGTGTAACAATTCCCCGTACAGGCGATACAATGTAACCGATGTGACAATTCTCTGTACCGGTGATACAATGTAACCAATGTGACAATTCACCGTACAGGCGATACAATGTAACCGGTGTGACAATTCTCTGTACCGGTGATACAATGTAACCGGTGTGACAATTCTCTGTACCGGTGATACAATGTAACCGATGTGACAATTCTCCGTACAGGTGATACAATGTAACCGATGTGACAATTCTCCGTACAGGTGATACAATGTAACCGATGTGACAATTCTCTGTACTGGTGATACAATGTAACCGGTGTGACAATTCCCCGTACAGGTGATACAATGTAACCGATGTGACAATTCTCTGTACAGGTGATACAATGTAACCGATGTGACAATTCTCCGTACAGGTGATACATTGTAACCGATGTAACAATTCCCCGTACAGGCGATACAATGTAACCGATGTGACAATTCTCTGTACCGGTGATACAATGTAACCAATGTGACAATTCCCCGTACCGGTGATACAATGTAACCGATGTGACAATTCTCCGTACAGGTGATACATTGTAACCGATGTAACAATTCCCCGTACAGGTGATACAATGTAACCGATGTGACAATTCTCTGTACCGGTGATACAATGTAACCGATGTGACAATTCCCCGTACAGGTGATACAATGTAACCGATGTGACAATTCTCCGTACAGGTGATACAATGTAACCGATGTAACAATTCCCCGTACAGGTGATACAATGTAACCGATGTGACAATTCTCTGTACCGGTGATACAATGTAACCGGTGTGACAATTCCCCGTACCGGTGATACAATGTAACCGATGTGACAATTCTCCGTACAGGTGATACATTGTAACCGATGTAACAATTCCCCGTACAGGTGATACAATGTAACCGATGTGACAATTCTCTGTACCGGTGATACAATGTAACCGATGTGACAATTCCCCGTACAGGTGATACAATGTAACCGATGTGACAATTCTCCGTACAGGTGATACAATGTAACCGATGTAACAATTCCCCGTACAGGTGATACAATGTAACCGATGTGACAATTCTCTGTACCGGTGATACAATGTAACCGATGTGACAATTCCCCGTACAGGTGATACAATGTAACCGATGTGACAATTCTCCGTACAGGTGATACAATGTAACCGATGTAACAATTCCCCGTACAGGTGATACAATGTAACCGATGTGACAATTCTCTGTACCGGTGATACAATGTAACCGATGTGACAATTCCCCGTACAGGTGATACAATGTAACCGATGTGACAATTCTCCGTACAGGTGATACAATGTAACCGATGTAACAATTCCCCGTACAGGTGATACAATGTAACCGATGTGACAATTCTCTGTACCGGTGATACAATGTAACCGATGTGACAATTCCCCGTACAGGTGATACAATGTAACCGATGTGACAATTCTCCGTACAGGTGATACAATGTAACCGATGTAACAATTCCCCGTACAGGTGATACAATGTGGCCGCGTTTTGTGTCAACTTCACAAATATAATTACAAGTCGGGTAATCCATCCGCCGCGTCCTTTCTGATTTATCAATAATTCAGTGTTTTTGCCGAGTGAGCCCCCCAGCTTTGGCGCGAGTCGCGGTAACATGGCGGATTCTCATCCTGGCGTCCTGATATCCCTCTTCCCCCGGAGCGCCATTCTGTTTGGTTTGAAATTGTTAGCTGCGCATGAATGGACGCCAAGTTCAAAATACAGGAGTCGGCAGATTTTGCAGAGCCAGGGTCATCCTCTGTCATCTGCGTCCTTATTTCCCTGCTGTGTATACGTCTACCGAGGAGGAGCGCAGCATGGGGTCAGCATATGGCGACTCCACCGCGTTTACAGCGATGACTTATTGTAGGATATTGAAGAGTTTGCTGGAAAGTCATATCTGTGACTTGAAGGGCGCGTTCACAACGTCATCATAAAAAACGCATAAACGTATTCCTTCAAGTGCAAAATGCATTTGTGGTGCTTTTTTAATGTATGTCACTTCCTGTTGTAGGATGACAACACTCTGTCCCCGTCTCCCAAATCTGCTAAGGATTGTCACCCTGTCACATGCCCCCTCCCGGTGTAGCAGTGGCCATGCTGTGCACAGACATGGACCTCCGCTGTCACATTTAGGTGTATTACATAGACCTGTCCCCCGCACTCTATACACCGCGTTGTGTATTACATAGACCCGACCCCTGCACTCTATACACTGTTTGGTGCATTACATAGCCCCGACCCCTGCACGCTATACACAGTGTTGTGTATTACATAGACCTGACCCCTGCACTCTATACACCGCGTTGTGTATTACAGACCCCTGCACTCTATACACTGTTTGGTGCATTACATAGACCCGACCCCTGCACGCTATACACCGTGTTATGTATTACATAGACCCGACCCCTGCACTCTATACACAGTGTTATGTATTACATAGACCTGATTCCTGCACTCTATACACTGTGTTATGTATTACATAGACCCGATCCCTGCACCCCTGTTCGGTGCATTACATAGACCTGACCCCTTCACTCTATACACCGTGTTGTGTATTACATAGACCCGACCCCTGCACGCTATACACCGTGTTGTGTATTACATAGACCAGACCCCTGCACGCTATACACTGTGTTATATATTACATAGACCTGACCCCTGCACTCTATACACAGTGTTGTGTATTACATAGACCTGACCCCTGCACTCTATACACCGTATTGTGTATTACATAGACCCGACCCCTGCACTCTATACACTGTGTTATGTATTACATAGACCTGACCCCTGCACTCTATACACTGTTCGGTGCATTACATAGACCTGACCCCTGCACTCTATACACCGTGCTGTGTATTACATAGACCCGACCCCTGCACGCTATACACTGTGTTATGTATTACATAGACCCGACCCCTGCACTCTATACACCGTGTTGTGTATTACATAGACCCGACCCCTGCACTCTATACACCGTATTGTGTATTACATAGACCCGACCCCTGCACTCTATACACTGTGTTGTGTATTACATAGACCCGACCCCTGCACTCTATACACTGTGTTGTGTATTACATAGACCTGACCTCTGCACTCTATACACAGTGTTGTGTATTACATAGACCCGACCCCCGCACGCTATACACTGTGTTATGTATTACATAGACCCGACCCCTGCACTCTATACACTGTGTTATGTATTACATAGACCTGACCCCTGCACTCTATACACTGTGTTGGAGGATACATGTCGTCGTCCTTCTTGTCTGTTGGAAATCGCTGAGTTAGATGCCAACGAACCTCCATTAATAATTGAAGGACCTGAAACCTCGGAGACCTCAATCTGGTCGCGGTTCCCGGCACAGCCGGGGAGGTCCATGAATATTGCACACATCCCCCAGTCTCTGCCATGCAGAAGCTCGCGGCAGGCCGCAGCGTTGCCAACCAGGCGGCCAACAT